TGATAATGGGAAAACAAGATTAGTCCCAAAATTTCATTCTAAAAATTACTTTCCATTTATTCCTCCTTTACACAAGTTCTTAATGGTTAGAATAAGGGTTCAAAACTTGTGAAATGGAAATGCTAACTGAGCCATCAGACTAGACCAGTGACCTGGAACCCTGGAACACTGCAACTTTAAGAGGTTTGTGAGGAGAGAAGGAATTTGCAGTTGGACTGCTATAAGCCAATGAAGTAGAATGGAAACCAGGAAGTTTACAGCCAACAAATTTACTATCCTCGAAGCCATGTACTGGAAGAACACCCAGAAAGGATACCTGCTGATTAGTCACATAACCTGAGAACTAAGAATAACTATTGAATTTAGTAACTTAAAGTTCATTAATTACCATGACAAGGATGAAAAGTTTAAGGGGAATGGTGGAGATAACTATCATGGATTTAAAAGAAGTTTCTAGAATACTGAAAGTAAAAGAGAGTTTATCCTAGAAAGTGGGATATGTGAAGATGAAGCTCAATTGATAAAGATACGATTTGAGGGTGAGCTGTGGAAGTTGGTGGATAGAGTGCAGGATCAGGAGAGGATCCCAGAGACTGAGAGCTCAGCTTGTTGTGGAGCTGTATCCCCATGCACAGGAACCTCCAGGACCCAGAAGTAAGGCTGCTGAGAGAGTGACAGCCAGATATTCAACAGAGGAATGAAGCATCACGATAGGCAAGAAGTAGTGGCTCATGTGTATCATAGGACACAGGGGTTAGGAAGGAGAATATTCACCTTTCCTTTAGGCCCAGCAGTACCTCAGCTTTGAGTGGTTAAAAAACTGGAGAGAGCCACCGAGGAAGGGTTACCATTAACAAGGAATCAGGTTTCCATTGAGCATGAATGTCTTAAAGAAGAGTCTGACAATACATAGGGGATTGGCTTTATGGGCCCTGAATTCTAGGGGCCCAGAAGAGTTCAGATCTGGGTAGAGAATAAGGAGAACCAGGTCTGTATACCATTCTGGGTGCCCTCACAGTGGTGTGGCGGGGTGAAAGGCTACACTGATGTCATTGCACTGCCATACATAGGCCAGGAGTTCTGATGAATTGGGTTCCAGTGCCTATAAAACAGAAATTTGTTTTGAAGAGCTTGAGTGGTTAGAAGAAGGCTAAATGTCAGGTGTTCCTTCTTAACCCACTCCTGGATTGGGCTTTTGGGTTCCTTGCTTTGTTGGTGGCTATTTGGTTTGGTTTGTTTTTTTTCCTTGCCTCCGGATAGAGGGCAAAGGTGCCTGGAGACAGAATTTAGTTGCAGCACTACAATTCGTGCTGACTCCTTGCAGGAAAGGGAGGACAAGAAGGATGTACTTTCTTCCAGTCTTGGGGGCTGCTGCTTGATTCATTTGACAGACTTGAAAACTTCCAGAAAAGCCAGGAATTCTGCTGAATGCTGAGGCTCACTTTGACCCAGGTCATGGGGTAGAGTGTGGAAGGTGGCCCAAGCCCCGGGGTCCTAGCTGCAGCACTGTATGAGAAGCCACCTGTGTCTTGGTGAGAGAGGGTCTGCCCCTGGTCTCTTTGATGGAGTTAAAGAGTAACTGACCTCACATGTTTCTTGTCTACTATTAATATTATAAGTTTCAACCATGAATGAGGAGGTTTTTCTCAGTGGTTTTTGCCCTTTGCATTGTCTTGGGTTTTTGGTTTATCTTTGGGAAATAGGACACGTCTTTGGTTAATAGACGTTTGATGTGTACAAAATGAAGGCTGCGAAAGCCACTCGGATGGAACTGACAGGTAGCAGGGGCTCAGCTGTGCCCAGCGCTCGGCTTGATGACAATCTTGCAATAAATAATCGGAACTGGGTGAAATGATAGCAAATGTCAGTATAAAGTTTTTACTTGTCAAAACAAAGATTGTCTTCTTACTAAACCATTGCTGAACCAAATTATGTAACCTTTTATCTTCCTTTCCACTGGAAAACTTCTTCAGTGCCCCTCTCCACTTTGTATGCTGAACTGGGTGAGAGGGTTTCACAGCCACATTTCCCGTCTGTACCGATGGTCATTACTGCTCATTCCGTGTAATAAAAGAGGGCTGGTGTGGCCAGAAAGCAGTTGTTCAGTCCTCCTGTTTATTAGTCTCGATAGCTGTCATTTATGGCTCCAGTTAGACAATTGGGAATTGTCTCAGTCAAGGAAGTTCTTTCCAGTTTTATGAAGAGGTTACTCTTATTTTATCTGTGCAACAGAGATAAAATTCTCAAGAACATCAAAGTTTATTTGTCTAAGGAGCTGTTATGATGTAACTTCTGACCTTTGGAAAGAAGACCAAGATTCATTTAATTTACTGTTGAGTTTCTAAAAAGTATTTCCCAGTTTATTTTGAACAAAATGAGAAGTTATTCTGACTCTTTTGGGGCCAGATTGTGGAGAATGGTGGATGGCTAGAGCCTGTCTGGCCTGCCCCGCTGGGCATGTGGTGCTGGTCCCCAAGGCTGCTCGGCAAGGGAAGGCCAAGCTCAGACGCACATGTCTTGATTGATGTTTAACACTGACATTGTGTGAGAATATTTGACTAACTGAATTTTTGTTGTCAGAATGAAAAATATTCTTCCTTAAAAGCATTCTCATATTTAAGCTATAATAGCTTAAAAGTTAAGAAAAACGTATTTTTTCTTTTATGATTTATATTAGGTTTATTATCTTTTTGTATGTGAAAATGAATCTACTCTTTTCTCAGCTAGTAACTTTTTCTCACTGTAAATATTTATTATGTCTTGAGAGAAATGGGAGGACAGGGGCCAGGGAGATGGCTCAGTAGAATAAGCACTTCTCTGGCAAGCTCAAGGTCCTGAGTTCAATCCCCAGTTCCACCGAGAGAGAGAGAG